ACTGGTGGGTGCAGGCCCCGGGGGCAGGTGGAGGCCCTCGGAGCCCTGGGGTCGGGTACCGGCTCTGCTGAGCTGGAGAGCGGCTCTGTGGAAGGTTGGTGGCCCGCCTGTCCCTTCTCCCCGCTGGGTGGCAGGGCCGGCTCTCACCTCCCGGCTCCCGGCAGTCTTTATCACCCCAGGATATGGCAGCAGGGAAGCTTGCCTGGAATGGGGAACCTGCCGGAGCTGCTCAGGGAAATGTGAGCATCTCCCGGCAGTCTTTATCACCCCAGGATATGGCAGCAGGGAAGCTTGCCTGGGCAAAGGAATGTGTAAGCAAGAGTTTGTTTTTAGCCAGAGGGAATCAGTGAGGAAGCCTTTTTTTTTCTCTGTGGAGGCTTCTTTTCCCCCCCCCCCCTCTTTCTTTCTCTCCTCCCCAGCATATTCGCACTGAGTGGGAAATTAAAGCTACTGTTAGTAACATGCTTGCACACAGAAAGGTGCTGGAGCACCCACCGTCATCTTGCACAGCCTCCGCTTGGGGAAACTGTACTCGGGAACAGTTTTAAAATGGAGGTATTCTCCGCTAGTGTGCATGTATGAACCTCTTCTGCTCTCGAGCGCTGCCCAGCATGACAAGCACAGTGCTAGCTCCAGTGTACTCAGAGACCTGTCACATCTTACGCTGTGGGCTCTGCTGTCAGCATGTTTTAACCATGCAAGACTCTTCTACCGTGGGCTGTCTCCTACAGACCCTCAGTTCTGAGTTTTCCTTTGCCAAGCTTTCTCTCCCAGTGCTGCAGGGCTATCCTGTGACTTTCAGATCTGTGAAGCTGCCCCTGCTTAGTTTCCCTCTGTAGATCCCCGGCACAGTGGTGGAAAGAGCCTTTTCTTCTGCCGCATCCTTGCTACCCAGTCCAATCAATGCAGCCTGTGCTTTTAATTAGAAAATGGATTATTTCCAGGCACTAGAGGAGACCCCTGTGTGAGGTGAGCAGCCGGTACTGTCTGCCTTCGTGTACAGATGGGGGACTGGAAGCATGGAGGTGGCAGCGTACTTGAGAGAGGCAGTGATTCGAGTTCAGACCATGCCTTCCCCAGTCCGCTGCAGCTCCCAGCTTAAGAGCTGAATGCAGGCTTTAGGACATGTGCTGACCTACTCTGGAGGCTTTAAAAAAATGTCAGGCTTCAGGTAGCCCTGGCTATTTATCTTTATAGCAGCAGTGCTGTCTGATAACGGCCAGACTTGAAGTAATCTTCTAGGTGAAGCTATGTTGCCTTATTACTGTTAAATTTTTATACGGCAATTTCAGGTGTGCGCGGCTGGGAGTGTGCTGCCCTCTTAGCACCAAGAGATAAAGATCGGGCTTACCATTACAGCGGTAAGGAACAGAAGGCAGGCAAAGATCAGGTGAGCTCCCTGGGCCTGTGGCTGCAGCTTATCGTATCTTACGATCTGAAATACTGTAGCGTAAGACACTGCGTGGCTGCCCAGATCACTGGGTATCTCGTAGGGAGATTAGCGAATTACCAGCGCAGGGGAGTGACTCAATGTCCAGATAGGTTTTCAGCTGGTTGCTTAGGTTTAGAGTTCCTGGTGATGTACAAGTGGTGTGCTCAGCTATTTCTCTGTCTTCCTGGAGAGTTTTTCCTGCTCTGAAGTGGTAATGAAGCTTCTTCCTAAATTGCTGTATCATGGTGGAATCAAAATACAAAAGTCCAGCGTGTCTTTTTACCCCTTTTCCCTGCTGAGGACAGTGCTGACTTTAGGTGTGTCCCTTTGCTTTGTTTGTTTAACTTGAGGTTATTTGTTTCTCTTTCATGTTCCCTCCGTGCCGGAATGTTTGTTTATATTTAATGAAAAGTTTTGCTGTACATCCAAGGACTGCCTGTGAGCAAAGAGGGTTCCTAAGCCGTTGCATAAAGTTTCATTAGCTCTCTGATCACTGTCCTCAAGGCTTTGGTTTGAAAAGGGGTCCTTGCTGTTTGAATGGTTGCTGCAGACACTGGCCGATGGTCACCCGTAGGAGTCCCGTGTCCGTGCTGATCACGCAATAATACAGCTCGCTATATCACAGGTAATCCCCGTTGCCTGCCATACCATGTGTTTCCCAAATTCCATGTGGCATCCAGGGCAGGGATACAGGTAACACCTGCATTCAGGGAGCGTTCGGAGGACACAATGCGTGTCATGAAATGATTCCCGTTCTCCTTCGAGTGCTATCTGTGGGGGTTTCCCTGCCTCAATGAAGAGAAGGGGTCGTGATGAGAGTCTTTCCCTCTTCTTTGTTGCAGTTTTTCTCCGGACCTCGCCCTGGACTCTCCTGGCACTGACCACTTTGTTATCATTGCCCAGCTGAAGGAGGAGGTGGCTACTTTAAAAAAGATGCTGCACCAGAAAGATCAGATGATTTTGGAGAAGGAGAAGAAGGTACAGCCCTTGGCTTGCTTCCCCCCACAGCATGCTGACATGTTCACACAGATCACACTCCAGCGGAGTCTGGCTTTTTATCTTGGAGTGAGCAAGAGAGTTTCTGGCTGTTTCCAGGCTGCCTCCTTTCCAAAGTTAAAGAGGCTTTCTGGACCCACCCAGGAGATCTCATTTCATAAAGGGCCATTTTCTGACCACTGTCTCAGAGACTTCCGTGTGGCGGCAAGACTGAGAAAAACCACACTGCTCTGTGCAGAAAGACAGCCCTGGCCGCTCCTGCTTCTCTGTGGCGCTCAGTGATACGGTTCTGGTCTCATGGCGCTCCCCCTGCCCACCCCAGCACATTTCCGAACTCATCCAGTCTCACGGAACTTCTGCAGAGGCATTTTCTGTGGCAAGGTGCGTCTGGGGTTAAGGCATTCATTTCTTCTTCCAGCTCACTTGCTCCTTACTGGTTTATCTGCAGATCACGGAGCTGAAAGCTGACCTGCAATACCAGGAGTCGCAGATGAGGGCAAAGATGAACCAAATGGAGAAGACGCACAAGGAGGTCATGGAGCAGTTACAGGTGACAGCATTTTTGTTTTAATTTGCTGAGCTGTGCTGTACCCAGGAGTGACTGAGGACACTCCTGATCAGAACGCCCCGTGAGCTTCTGCACACACAGCTCTGCTAACGCTTCTCAGCCCTGTCCTACAGCCTCTCTGCTCTGCCAGGCAAGCCCCTCCCCAGCTCTGTACCAGGTTGCAGTGCATCATAACCCCTATTTATATCTTCCTTGCTGCTCTCTACTCGGGCTCAGACTTACTGTATTGTAAAGTGCTGTGTTGTGTCCTCTGTGGACTAGACGGGAACCATCAAACTCATTTTACCTATCGCCAAAATCAGGTTTGAACCTGTTTCTCCAGACTGCAGAACCTTTGTCAGCTCCCTACACCGCGTAGCTCTTAATGTGATTTATGTGACCAGTAACCAGAGAGAACAAAGCTCAAGAAACAATTGGCAGTTCCTTTAGCACTGTATCTCTGTAGTCCAAATAAAGAAGTCCCTGAGCTCGAGGGAACAGGGAGAGCAGGATTCTTGTCATGGCCGTGGAAACAATAGGCAGACTATCAGCATGGATACGCTCTGAGCCACCGAAGAGATCAGGTCAAAGGGGAGCTGGTTACAGGGAAGAAATCAGACACAGGAATGAACTTTGCACTCTTTAATTACTCTGGGGTATATAATGATCTAAAGCCCTAGCAATGAGAAATGGGAGGGGACAAGACAAAAGGCTTATATATTCCTGCTGAGAAAACAGCCCCTCCTCCATTAGCACACACCCAAGTTAATTATTGGAGTGGAAGACAGCTTTTGGAGACTACAGCTGCTGTCAGAAAGCCGGTGCCTGTGAGGTCCCCTTCACGATGCGCGTTCTTAAGCGCTGTAAGCCTGTCTGAAGGTTGGGATATCTGTGTGTGGCGTGCCGAGGCCTGGATGTGCTTCCCGCTCCTCGTGAGCTGGGAGGCACTGGTGGTTTGTATTTGAGGGACTGACGAGAGCCGGAGCCTTCGGTCTCTGTACTGCTTTATTGATCCTGCACTGCCTGTGTCAGCCCAGAGCTGCTTCTATCTCATAGCTTTGGGAGGCCTGCAAAGAATGAGTTGGTGTTTACTCCGGTTCTGAATAGACAATTTTCCATTAGCGCAAACCACCGCTTTTCGGTTGCCTTGACAGCCCTGGCTGTGAGGTCAAGGGCTAACTGGGAGACGGCCCCCCCCCCCCTCCTTGCAGTGGTTTCCCAAGGCAGGGCACGCTGGTTGCTCGGCGTGCGTGGGAACAGTATACCCTGCTGCTGCTGCTGCGTCTGCCTTGAAAGCTGTCGGACGCCTTCCAACAGCCTTAAACTTGCTCAATTCTGAAAGGAAAGAGGAAGCATCAGATCCACGAGCAGGTTTGCCAGCAGCCACCTGCCTCTCCTGGGTGGAGAGGGGTTTGCGTGTCTGTCGCCCGCTGTGCTGTTCTGTACTTAGCTCGGACTGGGACTGCCCCGAACTCATTCTCTCTGGTGTCCGAATGTTTTACTTCAGCTGGTATTGACTGAGGCTCTGGAAACTTTCTTCACTGATTCCAAAATAAAAGTTCAAATCCTCTCGGTGTATTGTAGGTGCCTTGAAGTGTTCATGTGATTCGCTTTTGGAACGTGCTCTTGGTTTTTATTATTTTGTCTTGTCTTTTCGTGGGGGGAGGCAGGGGTGCCTGTATTCTTCCAGTCTGCAGGAGGTAAAAGAAGCTGCTTTACCACATGCAGCGCTGGAGCAGAGGGTTTAATTCCTCTAATAACCCTTTGCATATTCATTCATTCACGGGAAACCAATGCAGAAGACCTGTATCTGGCTTCACACGGGTTCTACCCCTTATCCTACTGCTATAGCATAATTTACTACATGGGCTAGAGGAGAGCGAGCTCAGAAGTTTGGTAAAAGGGGCTAGAGAGCCTTGTTTGTAAGTTGCCAGGATTTAATTCAGTGTAAACTGGAGAGACTGTAGGTTGTTACATGTTGGTGCACTGATGGCTTCAGAAGGCGTCTGGTAGGGGCGCAGGATCGGTACAGCGCTGAATCCTGGTAAAATGTTGGCAGCGCCTGAAGAAACCAGGGGTGAGGCAAAGCTGGAGAACAGCGAGCCGCTTCACCCTGCCGTTTTTGAAACAAGTGAGAGCGTGGGGTAGGGGAAGCTGGCCTTCGACTCGCTAAAACAGGAGTCAGGGTGGGGGCTTGGGTCACCAGAGTTTTACTCCACCGCTTCTCACGCTGTCAAAGCACGGTGGCTGGTGAAAGGGGAAGGAGGGAAAGCCAGTCCCGCTGACCCTGGTCAGTGTCCTTGGCTGGTTTAACGCGAGTTGCGCGTTTTGTCACCTTTCACTGTGGAAGCTGTTAACTTTCAGCCCACTTCTCGGTTACAGCGGGGGGGAGGCGAGGGGGAAGGGATGGGAAGAGCTCTTTCTAGGTGGTTAGAGATGAGGTGCCGGACTTGAGCCCGTGCTGTGATGGCGCGCAGCAACATCTACCTCCTTTTTCATCCGCGCGCAGGATGCCAGCAGCTTCTGTCCAGGCAATTCTAGGATCCCGAGAACTAATGATGATCCGTGCCATTAAATACGCATTTTCACTGTGTTTCCAGGCCAAGAACAGAGAACTCCTGAAGCAAGCAGCTGCCCTATCGAAGGGCAAAAAGCCTGAGAAGTCGGGAGCAATAACCTCCCCTTAAAACCAAACCCCCAATCTGGGAGCTTTCCCCAGCATTAGCCAAGGAGTCTAGGAGGCCTGCCTGATCGCTGGAAGCCAAAACCTCAGTGTTGTCACTATCCCACTGCCGTGGACTCGATGGAAACGCCTGGTGTGTGTTGCCTTTCGACAGCATGCTTGAGCGTGTCTGGTTTCGACCTCTGTTGAATACCGGTCTGTATCGTGGTGATCCACGGGGAGAGGTCCCAGCCATCCTAAATCCCACCC